AGAGAAGACTTGGAAGATACACCACTAAATAAATGCTTGAGTTATCAGGGTCTAATTGCTATAACTCTTCCAACTCCTATTTTTCAGACAGCTCCAAAATTATGGAAAATTTTCTTTATTGATACTAGAGCCTCTAAGGTGCCAGCCATGTACACCCAAGGCGTAGGGTTCAAATCCAGCCCGGGCCTGCTAAACAACAAAGACAGCTGCAACCAAAAAATAGCTGGGCGTTGTGGCGAGCACCTGTGGTCCCAGCTACTCGGGAGGCTAAGGCAGAAGAATCGCTTGAGCCAGGAGTTGGAGGTTGCTGTGGGCTGTGATGCCACAGTACTCTACCCAGGGGGATAGCTGGAGGCTCCTGTCTCAAAAAAAAAAAAAAAAAAAAAATACTACAGCCTAAACATTAATCATTAACTGGACTAATAACTTTCAGTTCTAAAAACTGAATTATATAAAGCATCATACTTTATAATTAGTAGTTCAAGATGTAATTTCTTGTTGAATTTCATTTGTAAGCTACTAATTTATTTTTTCATGAGAAAGTCTTTACTTTAAATACTTATCAGTATACCAAGTAATAACATGTAACAAGTTCTTCGATAGAACATCTAGTAATTTTAAGTAACAGAAACTAAAAGCAGCCCTAATAATTACGTTAGTATCTATTATTCTAAGGACTAGCAAGAATGGACTTTTCATAGATAAAGCCCCTGACCTTCAAGAAAGCATTAGGGAAAAAATTAATCTGTTTCTTTCTTCAAATAATTGGGTTTTGGGGGGGGGGTCTGCTTTTATTTATTTATGGCTGGGGCTAGGTTTGAACCCACCACCTGTAGCATATGGGGCCGGTGCCTTACTCTTTTGAGCCACAGGCACCGCCCTTTTAAAAAAATTTTTTTATTAGCACTTAAGAAAGTCAACACTGATATATATATATATGGTAACTAAGCAAAAAAGCATACCTCAGATGAGTTATAAATCTGTACAATGAAGCTAGATTTGCTCTTCAAAAAGTGAAGGGATCTACTATAGTATAATATACAGAAATAATTTAATGCCTTTCCTGAGATGCAAATTTATTTTTAATATATATATTTGATATCATATTTGGAATACATAGCTATCATCCAAATTTTGGATATGGTAAAGAGGCGTTCTAACAATAAGTTTTTGTAGAAGTCCCATTTTATTAGGAAATGGATAAAGATTTGGAAATATAAGGCTACTTTGTTTGCGACTGTGGGGCTAGAATTCAGTTTTAAGGAAAGAATAAGAAAGTACAACTTGTGTTAATTTTACACATGGCCCTAAAGGAAAGTAGCCCTTAGAGTGCCTGGTGTCCCATCTCACTGTCCTGGGAGTGTCCCATCTACTGTTCCATTTCGGTTCTCACTTCAGTTTAACTTCTCAGTGAGTGTACTTTTCATTTCTATATGCTTGGTTTTTTTTTTTGTTTTTTTTTTGAGACGGAGCCTCAAGCTATCCCCCTGGGTAGAGTGCCATGGCATCACGCTCACAGCAACCTCCAACTCCTGGGCTCAAGCGAGTCTCCT